GTGCACAGTCACTCATGCCCTCGTCACCTCTCGCCTTGACTACTGCAACGCTCTCTACATGGGGCTCCCCTTGAAGAGCACCCGGAGGCTCCAACTGGTCCAGAATGCAGCAGCGCTGGTAGTGACGGGAGCAGCATGGCGCTCCCATGTAACACCGCTCCTGCGCGAGCTGCACTGGCTCCCAGTGGTCTTCCGGGTGTGCTTCAAGGTGCTGGTTATCACCTTTAAAGCGCTCCATGGCATCGGGCCTAGCTATCTTCGAGACCACCTGCTGCTACCGACGACCTCCCATCGTCCCGTGCGCTCCCACAGAGAGGGCCTCCTCAGGGTGCCATCAGCCAAACAATGTAGGCTGGTGACCCCCAGGGGGAGGGCCTTCTCTGTGGGGGCACCTACCCTCTGGAATCAGTTGCCCCCAGAGATAAGGAGAATCCAAGACCTTAGTGCCTTCCGCCGTGCCCTTAAAACCCACTTTTTCCAGCAAGCCGGGCTGGCTTAAGAAGAAATTTTAAATGTTTTAATTGGTTTGTATTTTTAATTTTGGGCCAAATTTATATATATTTTAATTGTTTTTTTAATATTTGTATTTTATGTTTTTTAATTCTGGCTGTACACCCCTGAGTCCTCAGGGAGAAGGGCGGTATATAAATTTAAAATAAATAAATAAATAAATAAATAAAATTTCAGTAAGGAATTAAATAATACTACAATACCAAGTTGCTGTAAATATTCCTTCCCAAATCTAGTCATATCATCTGGGAATTCTGGGATAAAAATCTATAAATATGAATTATTTTTAGGAATTACATTGGCACCCACCAATGACACAGATTAAACAGAGGCAAGAGCCAGGTTGGTCTAGTGGTTAAGGCACAGGCTAGTAAGTAGGAAGCCATAAATTCAAATTCCACCTTAGCCATGAAAGCCAGGTGGGTGACTTTGGACCACTCAGTCTCTCCCAGCCCAATCCCGCTCACAGGGTTGTTGTGGGGGAAATAGCTGGAGGTAGATGCGTTGGACATAAAATAAGGTAGGGTACAGGAGTGGGACTGGTTGTATGGTTGGAGCTGCCGTCTGGATTTTTTGGATTCCCCATGCAGTCAAGTCCACTAATCAGGGCAACAATGGCTGAATTTTGCTTCTTTCCAAGCAAAATCCCCAGCAAGCAAAAGGTTGGCCAGAACCTGGTTCAATGTGCATAAAATGCACCTGGAGAGAAACAAAGTCTTTTCTGCAAAAAAAAAAAAAAAAAGACAATAAGACCTGTGCAGAAAAGATGCAGAAAATGGGATGTTTGTAACCCTCTTCATTAGGCCTTGCAAGGACATGGGGGGAGGGTCAAAAAATTCAAAATGGCAACTTTGCATGTATAACCAAAAGCCCCAATTCGTTCTGACTGTTCATTCTGTCACCATCTTGATTATTTTTCACTCCACATTTCAAGAAGCATCATCCTCTGAACCAGGAAGAAGCTTGCCCAAGCTTTTCACCTGGATAGTATTTGTCATAATGGGAGAATAAAACTGTGGCAATGAGTTATACGGCACTTCTTATTTGTCGCTCTCATATTGCATTGTATTTACAGACTGCAGTAACAGAATTTTAGATCTACTTATATAAGGTGTTGGAAGGGAGGGAGGGAGGGAGGGAGGGAGGGAGGAAGGAAAAAAAGAAAATATGTGCAATTTTATTTTTTGAAAACAAATCCAAATTCCTGCCCTTCTAATTTTTCTTTCCTCTTGTATAGTTTCAGGCTTTTCATTAATGCCAGCATGTAATATAATAATGGATAATAGATACTCTGAAGTTCAGGTAATTAATACCCTTTGAACAGACTATCACATAAGTATATAGTACCATTCTATTCATCCAACTTAATACAGACTAAGGTGCTACTTTGTGGAACTGTTTTCCTTTAGAAGAAAGGCTGCAAGCATCAGCACTCCATAAGCCACTGTTACTCTCTTTACTGGTTTACTGAAGGAAACTGAATATTATAACTAATCCTCAATTTACAACCATTTGTTTAGTGACTGTTTGAAGTTACAATGGCACTGAAAAAAATGACCTATGACCATTTTTCACACTTAACTACCAATGCAGCATTCCCCTGGTCACATGATCAGAATTTGGATACTTGGCAACTGATTCATATTTATGATGGTTGCAGGGCTCATGTGATGAACCTTTGACAAACAAAGTCAATGGAGAAGCCATATTCACTTAACATTACTAACTTAAGAACAGCTGTGATTCAATTAACAACTGTGGCAAAAAAGGTCATAAAGTGGGGCAAAATTCACTTAACAACTGTCTTACTTAGCAATGGAAATTTTGAGTTCAATTGTGGTTATAAATTGAGGACTACCTGTATTTCATTTCAGGAAATGTTTTTTCTGAGAGTGTTAATATTTTTAGCTGAATTACAGAAGGAAAGCAAAGGGACATATAAGGTCATAGCTGAAGTAATCCTAGTGGACTACAGTGTGTGGCAGCAGCCAAAAAAGCTAATGCAATCCTAGGCTACATTAATAGAGGTACAGTACTGGTAGAGGTAATAGTACTGTTTTACAAACCCTTAGTAAGACCACACTTGGAATATTGCATCCAGTCCTAGTCACCACAATACAAAAAAGATGTTGAGGCTCTAGAAAGAGTGCAAAGAGCAACAAAAATTATAAGGGGGCTAGAGGATAAAACATATGAAGAACTGTTACAGGAACTGGCCATGACTAGTCTAGTGAAGAGAAGGATGGGGGGGGGAGAGACATGCTGACACTGTTCCAATACTTGAGGGGCTTTTACAAAGACAAGGGGGTCAAACTATTGTCCAAAGCACCAAAGGGAAAGACAAGAAACAATGGCTGGAAACTGATCAAGGAGAGAAGCAACCTAGAACTAAGATTTCCTAATAGTGAGAGCAATCAACCAATGGAATAGCTTGCCTTCAGAAGTTGTGGGTGCTTCATCACTGAAGGCTTTCAAAAAGAGACTAGACAACCATTTGTCTGGAATGATATAGGATCTCCTGCTCAAGTCCGGGGTCCCTTCCATCTCTTATTATTCTATGTTCAAAATAGATCATTCTGGACAGATGAACAGATCTCGGGACAATGGGAGGACCAGACTATTCCTTTTTCTTGCACTACCCTAATAATTCAGGTTTCTTTTTTTATTAAAGAATCCTCAAAATCATGAGAGCTTCCAACCAAACAAAAGGAGAGATTCACATAGAGAATCTTGATAAATCCAAGTCAAGGCTATTAAACCCTGGATGATATAATAACAAGGTTATCCCAATCCAGAAAAGGGTGTTCTGTAATGGGAATACCAGCTGAAAAATGGTAATAGGTCAGGAGTTCCCAATTCTCAGCACCCTTAAGAATACCGAACTGTCCTGCTTCTCTAACACCACTGTGGTTTTGCTGCAGTGCCTTCAGTGCAGCGTTTCAGAACCATAGTAATAGACACTTCTGGCTAGAGAAGTCACATGGATCTTAAATGATAAATGACTTTAGGGCTACCTAGAAATATAATCTGTTCCTAGGGAATGAAATCAGCCTGTATGACCATGTCCCCCAATTTCTATGCTTGGAAATGACCTGCCTCTATAGCCTCTGTCTTGTGAAGTGAGACAACCTCAATGTATTTGCCTTTAATACATCACTGCATACAAATGCTGCTTTAAAACATCCTGTCTGTGATGTTATTGAAAATAGACCCGAATGTCAACTACGTGTTAAAATTGTCTCATTGCCCAAATTTCTACTAGCTTTGAAAAGATGTTAAATAGCATCATGGACAAAATGTTGTGGACTCTAAAGCACAGGGACCAGGGCCAAACAATGTAATTCTCTGTAATGATCTTAGTAAATAAAAATAAAACCCCTATCCCAAATGCACAAAGCAATCTAAAATATTGTGATCAGCAGTATCAAAAGCTGCTGAAAAATCTAACCGATACAGAGATTTATTGGCCTCTCATCTCTCTTCTGCAGAAGGCTAGCCAATAGAACAGGGTTTCTTAGCTTTGGCCACTTGAACCATTCTCCAACCAGCATAGTCTTAGGCATAGCTGGGCTGGCAGAAGAATTCTGGGAGTTGAAGTCCCCATGTCTTCAAGTGGCCAAAGTTGAGAAACACTGCAATAGAGCAAGCTACACTTGACTGGAGTGAATTCAAACTGAAATGAATCAAGATAATCGGGGACCTCCAAGATTTGGGATCCACTTATTTTGTTTGCTAGCAGTGTGCTCCTAACTGCATAGATACCAAGTTACTGCAACTTGGACTACATACATATAAATATGTAATAATGTTATACATACATATAAATATGTAAATCCAAGGAAGGCTTTTTTCAAAAGTGGATATAATACTGATTTTCCTTAAGGCTGCTGACACTCAAATGATCTATATACACCACTCCTTGCAACCAGGTATGTATTTTCTCCCAGATATGACAAATAAATTACAAATAAATAAACGAGGGCAAACGACATTAGTACATCAGACAAGCATCTTCTCCACCCCCTCAAAACGGAACTCGATCCCATCCTCAGAGCTAAATGTCTACTTAAGCTTTTATTCATTTTGTAGCAAGAGATGTCCCTTGGTTTTTCATCCCCTCCGAAGCTGTTTCATCCTCGGATCCAAAATAAATATCCCACCGCAGGAGCGGTGCGTTAACACGCGCAGGGAAGTAAAATAAGCGCCTCACTAAGTACAGCTATCCATTCATCCCCGACCCGAACAGAAAAGATCGTCTTCGGAGATGGCCCGAAGGCTTTGGGTATTTCTCCTCTATGAGTTAACCGAAGAGGGCCTGAACGTCGACAGGGCAGACGGCGAAAATTTCAGCTCCTGGAGAGACGCGCCAGACTCACGTACAGCGCGCTACCGCCTGGCAAAGCGCCGAGAAAGGGTGGTGGCAATGGCATTGGCAGTCAACTGCAGCCCATGCGCAGTCGCTCCAAGAATAGTCCTTCCCTTCCCGGCGGGGCCCCATTTAAGGCGCATTACCGGAACTGGCTGAAGCCGGAGAGAGACGTGGAGTCGTCAAGTCGCAAGTAGAGCTCAAGTGCAGTTAAAAAGCAACCGTCAGCCAACCATGAGGGAGATCGTGCACCTGCAGGCCGGCCAGTGCGGCAACCAGATCGGGGCCAAGGTTAGAGGGGAAAACGCGGCTGGTGGAGGGATTCTTCCCGGAGAAATAACTTAGCTCTCGGGCAGGGTGCGATCGGAGAGACAAAGGAAGGGAATGGTATTAACGTGTCCTCCCGGGAGTTTAATAGTAACATTTCGGTTGGAATCGAGGCGCGGGGGTGGGTGGGTGGGTATCAAGGGCAATGCGATCGAAATTCGCTTGAGGGGGCGGTGGAGCTGAGCGGGAAATTTCGCTGCTCTGATCTCTCTTCCTGTCCTCCTCCTCGGGAACGCCTGTCCGTAATGGCTCCCTACCGGAATGTGCCTGGAGCGCAGGGTGGGGGAGATTAGGAAATGGCGAGAAAGCGCGGCGCGGCAGAGGAGAGGGGACTGGCTTGGGTGCTCAGAGCCTTTGGGAGAAGCCATTTTTGCTTTGTGTCGCATTTTCTAACCTGGAACCTGTGGCGGGAGTGGGCGGATCTCTGCAATGCGGCCGCCAACATGGCTTCCTCCGTCCCCTCGTCTGAAGAAATCCCAGCAAAGACGGCAGGGGCAACGCGAGCGTCCATCCGTCTGGTTTCTGCCGGGCGTGAACTGATCCTCGCGTGCTTTTCCCGAAGTCTGCCAAGAGGCACATTTGCACCGAGCTTTTGATGCAAATCCAGCCAGCCCGGTATTATCTTGACTGACTTCATTGCACTTAGTTTACATTACACAGGTTACAATAATCTGAGTTTGTGCAAAATTAAGTCCAGTAAGAAATTGGTCTGCAATAGGGTCAACTGTGTACTCTGGTGCATAACTCTGACTATGAAGAACCTCCCAGCTATCTTCCCCAACCTGGTCCCATCCACATATGTTGTTGAATTGAACCTGGCTAAACAAGGAGTATTATATAACCCAGCAGCTCATTTGTAAAATGCCACATAATGCAAAGCTGGTGCATGGCAGTTATTTAAGACATTTCCTCCTTTGGTACATGGCATATCTGAATGCCATGCACTTCTTTTGGGATGCCTCTTAGATTATGTTCTGCCTTCCAGAAGCTCCCTCAGAATGTTTTAATTGCTTCTGCCTTGGGATCCCTTCCCACAGCCTGGCTGCCCTTGATATCTTAACCCCAGCTCTTACAACTAACATTGGGTTGGAGTATATTTTCTTATCAGAGATAGTTAACCAGGTACCCTCCAGAACATGCTCCAAAGGCAAGTATGGAGGGAAACCTCAAAAGCATCTGATATCTACTTTTCCTATATGCCTTAGAATGCCATACAATAGTTGACTATAGGCTCAAGGTTGACTCAGCCTTCCATCCTTTCTAAGGTAGGTGAAATGAGGACCCAGTTTGTGGAGGCAATAAGCTGACTTTGTATAAAATATACAAAAGAATGAAGGCTATTGCTTAACGCATTGTAAGCCGCCCTGAGTCTCCAGAGAAGGGCTGCATATAAATCAAATTTTTAAAAAATAGTCCTCATTTAGCAACCACAGCTGCGACTGGCAATTTGGCTGTTATTAAGTGACACCTTGGCTGTGCTTATGATCTTACTTCAGTTTTCCTTTGCTTTACATACCTGCAAAGCTCATAAATGAAGATTGATCGTAAATTTTCATTACCACTGCAAATAGCCACGTGTTAATCATTATACAAGAACTACCTTCTATCTTAATTCTGACAACTTCTAATATATTCTTCCTGGCCACAGTGGGACTTCTGTGCTGACGTGGAATTTATAAGGCAATCTGGTCTTTCACCAGCATTTCTAGAAAGTTGAGTCATCTCAACTGTCGAAAGTTGAGCTTCCTTTCTGTTAATTTGTATCCACAAACTGCTGGCTTAACCAACCAGGTCTAAGGAAAGGGGAAGTTGATCAGAAACACAGCACACCTTTTTCTCCTCCCCCACAAAAGTGCTCCACCCTTGTTAGCAAGGTAATCCTTCACATCAAGATCAAATGTTATAGATTTATGGATATCCTAGAAAACTGAACCTTGATCTTTCTCCTTCCTGCCCTCATGGAGGGATTGGATTGTTAACTAAACCAGTCCTCCTAGAAGATCACTTAACACTTCTGCTGAGGCTGAACTATCATAGAGCAGGTAAAACTGGGCAGTTCTACCTAAGACTGCACCAAAGGGGAGCTGAGCTCACCAATTGTGATTGGTGTATTTCTCCTCCTTGCATAAATATTGGGGAAAGAGGTGCTTCTTCCTGGCTGCCTATTAGCTATGTAAATGAGCTTTTTCTGGTAGGAGCCTTCCCTGCAGTCTGAAGTAAGATGAGTCACCATTGCTCAGCTCATTTTACTTTTTGAAAGCTCAGCAAGCTGTTTCTGGGTTTGGATCAGTCTATGAATAACCTCAAGCTGTTAACTTGTATCTCCCTGAAAAGAGACAGTTACCAACAGAGCTACTGCTTCAGAAGGCATCCTTGACTTTCTAACACATGGCTACCGTTCCCCGTAGTTGATGCATCTCTCTTACAGCTATCTTGCTGCAAGGCCTCTCACAGAATATGCTGTGACAGGTTTCTAAACAAAATGAGCAGCTTTTCTCCCTGGCCCCCTTTTAAACAGAAACTTAACTTGTGGCTAAATCTTGTGAGGTTTAAAAACACAGCAGCCCATTCCCTTCACAGAGAACTTAAAAGGCTTGTGTAGAAATTCTCAATGTACTTGCTTGGTAATGGAATTGTCCCCACCTCTCACATTCCAGTCTGCAAAACCAAGCTGGTATCAGTAGCAGCTTCAGCCTTTAGAGCAGGGGCTCTCCAGAGTTGGCGACTTTAAGACTTGTACACAATTCTCTAGCCAGCATAGCTAGCAGAGGAATTCTGAGAGTGCCAAGTTTGGAGACCCCCGCTTTAGAACAATGAGAACGGGTGTGCTCTCCACATGGAAAGGCAGCATCTGAACTCTGCACCTTAAGTTTAAACTGCACCTGGACTTTCTATTGCCACCATAATAAAAGTGACTTCATCTCTCTGACTTGCATGTGACTGCTGTTGAACCTGGTCTACAAGCTGTGAAATAGAAGTGGCTATTGTTGGTCAAAATAAACAGTCTTTCTTAACTTTAAGGCTCTGTCAGCCTTAAATCTTGTATTTTGCTACAGAGTCCTCTTTCGGCAACCAAGAGAGTCTAACATTTGATTTCTCTTCCTAATTTGGGGAGAAAAATGAGAACAAACAGTGGCAGTAAATTCTCAGCCTGAAAGGCAGTGAAATACTGGAGAAGGAGTTTTGCTGAACTGGAAAGTGTCCTTGCCTTCCCTGCTGTCTGGCAAGTGCCCAAGCACCTGATGGACATACCGAGAACTCATCGGCAATCCAGGCGACTGCTGAAGCATGTCATTTGCTCATGTGCTGGATTTATAATTGCAGTTGTTTCCTTCTCTGTACTGCTCTGGTTGTCTTCTCTGAGGTGTGCATGCGGAGTGGGACTTTAAGGGACATGGCGCAGTGTCTGCATCTCTCTAATCTTCACCTTCAGCAAAAGCTTGCTTTCTTCCCCCAGCCCCGCCTGCTTTCCCTGGCAATTGGTATAAATAGAAACGGCCACTCATGCTGCAGCAGAATGTGAGAGAGACAAATATGACCCAGGGATTCCATTTAAAGCTGAGTTGCAGCAGGCACAAAGTGGCGAGAATCAGCTGTACAGGTTGTCTGGGCTGCAAAGCCCAGAAGTAGGCCAGGCAAATGTGGGAGCTTCCCATCTTCTGTGTGGGGAAGTGGACATGTTTGAATGGAAGGCTTCCTAGATTCTACTGGCAAAAATAAGGCAGGGTACAGAATCAGTTTCCAAGTTAAAAAAAAAAAAAACCTAGATAGATTCTTCTTTTTAATTAAAACAGTCAATTTTGCCATCTTTGCCGACATAATTTAATGCAGTATTACAAGCAGCTTTATATTCTTTAAAAGTCCTGTCCTACACAGGTAACATAACTAGTATTCTGAATTCCTCTATTTAAGGTACAGTCACAACAACTTTAGATCAAATTGCTTAAAATCCTGTCATGATACGCTCCCATAGAGAGGGGCTCCTCCGGGTGCCGTCAGCCAAACAATGTCGACTGGCGGCCCCCAGGGGGAGAGCCTTCTCTGTGGGGGCACCTACTATCTGGAACGGGCTCCCCCCAGAGATACGGAGGATCCCGGATCTGCACACCTTCCGCCACGCCTTAAAGACCTTATTTCACCAGGCGGGCCTGGCCTAATTTTCTCTCTCTCTCATAAAAGATTTTCAATTTTTAAATATCTTTTAGTATCTTATATATTCAATTTTAGAATTGGTTTTAAACAGTTCGAGGTTTTAAATTTGTCGGAGCCAAAACTATTTAATTCGATTTTATTCTACTTTTAAATTTTGTATGGATGTGTTTTTATTGTCTGGCTGTGCACTGCCCTGAGTCCTTCGGGAGTAGGGCGGTATAGAAATCGAAATAATAAATAAATAAATGATAGAGGACCTGGTAGAATTAAGATCTTAACACAAGAACTTGAAATAAGAGTTAGTATTTTAAGTACTATGTAGCAGCAACATTCATTACTCCGGCTGGGAGACAGGATCCCCAGCTAATATGCCAAAAATGGGAAGTTCAAAATGGCACTTCAAAGTTTAAACATTTCAAGAATTCCATAGATCTCTTTGTTTGGCTGCCAATGGAGGAAGGAAGTTTTCTTATGCTCCTGTTTAAATTGGCTGACTTCATGTTTTCTGCTAAGTCATAATATGGTTTATTTGACTTTTGCTTAATGCGGTGGTGGTTTGTAAATTATAGCTCTGTGTGTGGAACCACCATGAATAAAAAAGTAGTTTGACTGTGTTCATCTTCCACTTGTTGGCTTCCTTGAACCAGTACATCTAGCTCAGTATATTATGACACAAGATGCTGGACCAGCAGGTCTCCATTTTCTTTAGAGACCTGAAACAAATTGCAGTACTTTAATGAAGTATCCTAAAATTATGGCCACTAGGTTCCTGCCCAATCAGACCAAGAACCCCAAATACAGATATGCAAAATATTATATAGGAAAAAGTATATTATGAATCATAAATAATTAATCATTAAACACATCAGATCTAATCTTTAGTTTACAGTTGAATTCCTAAGGTTGGTTTAAACAAGTAGGTACTTTAATTGGGTTTTTATACTTTTGATTAAACTATGCTACACATATCGTTAAGAGTATCCTGTTGCAATCTTCTCTGGTATGAAAATAAGTACCTTGAGCATACGGTACATCCCATTCTTGCAGTCATCCACTAGATTTCTCCGAGAAAGGAGAAGACACAAGTTGGTGCATAGATCCTGCAGTGAGTGGGGGCTCATCCTTGGAGTCTATAGGACAGTGAACCCACTTTGAACATTTGGAGGCTGTGATGGAGAAACTGTGCTTTTAAGATTATAGAAAGTACAGGTAGTTGAAGTTCTCTTACTTAATGAGCACAGTTCAACCCACAATTTCTATTAATAAGTGAAAAATTTATTAGGAGAGTTTTGCTCCATCTTATGACCTTTCTTGCCACAGTTGTTAAGAGAATCACTGCAGTTGTTAAGTTAGTAACATGGTTCTTAAGTGAATCTGGCTTCCCCAGTGACTTTGCTTGTCAGAAGGTTGCAAAAGGTGATCACGTACTCCCAGGATACTGCAACCGTCATAAATACAAGTCAGTTGCCAAGCATCTTAATTTTGATCATGTGACCAGGGGAATGCTGCAATGCTCGTTAAGTGTGAAAAAGATAATAAATCACTTTTTTCAGTGCTGTTGTAACTTCGAACGGTCACTAAATGAACTGTTGTAAGTTGAGGACTACCTGTATTGTATGAGATGTATATTCACCCTCTCATTTCCCCAAAAGGTTATCACTTCCAGCTGCAGTTTTCAGATAATGGACAGGTGAGATGTGGGTGTGTTTTATCAGATATATGGCAGTTAAATAAGACATTAAAATTAAGAATGGACATTTCTTTAATTAGGATAGGATAGGATAGGATAGGATAGGATAGGATAGGATAGGATAGGATAGGATAGGATAGGGCTGGAAGGGACATTGGAGGTCTTCTAGCCCCCTGTTCAAGCAGGAGAACCTATACCATCTCAGACAAGTGACTGTCCAGTCTCTTCTTAAAAACCTCCAGTGACAGAGTGCCCACGATTTCTGAAGGCAAGCTTTTCCACTGGTTAATTTGTCCTCACTGTCAGGAAGTTTCTCCTTAATTCTAGATTGCTTCTCTCTTTGATCAGTTTCCATCCATTGCTTCTTGTCCTGCCCTCTGGTGCCTTGGAGATTAAAACATTATTGGCATCCATGAGCTTTAGGAGAAAAGATTAGCTTCTCCCTATCCAGCTCATGGCGTAAAAAAAAAAGTTCCTGGAACACTTAGGATTTATGGCAATAGACCATCATGAAGCACAGTAAAGCTTCTGATGGTCTGTGTAGAAACCTCAGCAGGCAGCAGCGGATGCTTAAATGATGAAGGGCAGGCAGCAGGATCCCATCTTCCAAAACCTTGCTGGGACCGTAGGAGACATCCTCCACATTGTATTTGGATAAAACTGTTCTTGGGAGTACAGAGGAGTTTGGGGTAGGCTGAGGGTCAAACTGAATTTCTTGTTGCACAAATGAAGTATGGCCTGGAGTGGGTATCTCTTAGATTACCTACTAGACCTTTCAAAAATTGTACTGTAAAGGTAGAAAGCTTGAAAGCCGTACTCCTGAATCAGATGACCGGTTGATGTCTCTGTGGAACTGGACGATGTCTATTTCACAAATTCATTTGGAGGTCAGGATGATAGATGAGAGCTTGTTGAGTGACAAGGAATTGATGCCTTTGCCTTGCTGGTGCTTGAGGTAATTGGTAGCAGATCCAATATATGCCGTTCGACTGGCAAAAAGATCTGAAGTAGGGGGCAATACTGCAATTAACCTATCCCTCCCCCTTGGTCCTATGTCTGTCCTAGGCAACAGGTGCATACTGACAAATGCCATCAGCTGTAAATAAATATATCTGCCTGCTTTGCAAGGCTGTGCTGGAGACTCATGGAAAAGGGATTTGTGATTTTGGCTCCTTTAGTGGAAAACCCAGATGGTACCCTCCCTGCTAATGAGCCCAGTCCAGTATTGAAGCTCCTCAGGATAAATCGATGATATGTCGCACTGCACTCCCATATAAAGGCTATCCAAGTATGCAGTAGAACCGTAACATTATAATGGGACCAGTCCGGTTTTCAGAAGGATTTGTCCTGTCACTAACTCTTTGTCCTTTTCCCTGACTTGTAGTTCTGGGAAGTCATCAGCGATGAACATGGCATTGATCCCACTGGCACCTACCATGGAGATAGTGACTTACAATTGGAAAGGATCAACGTCTACTACAATGAAGCCTCAGGTCAGCTTCCGTACAATTCAGAGTGCCAGGGACACCTCTCTTTGCAGTCTCCATTCTGTACAATGTTATCTCCTTTCTGCCCACCTTTATCCTGAAATCAGATATATTCTGTTTTTTTAGTGGAAAAAATAAAACCAACATTTCCCAAGTGAAACATGCTATTTGCTGAGCAAAAGTACAATGTGGAGATATACAAGGGATGGTGGGTTTTTTTTCTCATGCCTTACCTAGCTTGTTTATTGCATATATGATAATTTCAGTTTTGTTCAGTATATCATCTCATTGTCACTTCAGTCCTTTTTATGAATCCAACCATTTTCTTCTCTCTAAATCTGTTAGTAACTCTTGCTTAATGCTGGTCACAGAATGGTCATATTACTATCATTAGGAAGCCACAGTAACCATAAAAGCAAACCTTAATCAGACATAGCATGTTAGATTAAACGTGTTGGACTGTTTGTGATTGTCAACAAGTGGGTTCTTACAGTTATTTTTCTACCCAGGTGGCAAATATGTGCCTAGAGCTATTTTGGTTGACTTGGAACCTGGAACCATGGATTCTGTAAGATCTGGACCTTTTGGACAGATATTCAGACCTGATAACTTTGTCTTTGGTAAGGATCATTGTTGAACTACTCTGCAATTATTCTCCAGTCAAGTTAAACCAGAAATTATGCGTATTGCAGCTATCTTCCTTAACATGCTGCTTCTTGCTCTTTTTTGTTTTAATTAGTTATTTACAACTAATTACAAATCTGAAATACTATGATTTATAGCAAAAACTACAAATTCAGCATCTGTTGTTTAGAAATTAATTATTTCAGTGCTGTTGAATCAGATTTGTTTTGACTTCCTGTTGAGAAAGGCTCAATTCAGGACTTGTCAGAGAACATGATATATATTGTTACGGCTATTCCAAACGTGCTCGTGAGTATCTTAGTCTTAATTTTTTCCAAGTGTTGAGCAACTATTCTCTTTTGACCCTGTCCGTAAGTCTTGACTGCTAGGAGAACAGACTTCACACATTAGGGATATCACTTAGTAACATGTATATCTTTAACAAGCAATGATCAATGTCACTATGTTTCTACAGTCCGGTGACATTGAAACCCAAATGGAACAAAAGTAGGGCGAGCCAAGATCACACTAGCATTTCTGTATGACATTCAAGTGAAATACAGTTGCTACTAACTGGTGGTGTAGTTATGGTGTCAAATGTGAATTAGGTTCGTGCACAACTCATTGCCCTTGGACTTATTAGAACACTATTTGCAGACTGTTTCAGAACATTATGTAGATTTTTATATGCATTGACACTGGTATGTGTTCAAAGTATTTCTTTTTCCTTTTGCTTTGGAGTAAAGAGGAGGAAGAAATTGAGGTGTTGAATACATTTCTAATAAGCCAAGCTGTGCATTGCTGTGTCCCGACGGCAGCATCATTAAGTCTGCAAAGAAACTCTTAATTTAAACCACTCTCTGTATAAGGTGTGTCTGGAGAAAGAACCTAAAATAACACAGCAACACCTTCCTTTATTGCTGTACTACTTTGCATTCTGTGCACGCTACAAAAGATTACACCATATGTAGAATTTGAATTGATTGACAATACAGTATCAGTAATGTTCCATAATGCGGAAAGCACTTTTGATGCGGTAAGACTGAAGTCCACAACATGGAGCCCAAATGTTTGTGGATATCTTCTTTGATGCCCACCAAGTTCCTGCCCCTAAATCTAATTTTAGAAGCTGGATTCTAGGGCTTGAGTCCATCACATTAGCAGTCTTCTGTTTTACTTATCTGGAAATGATTTGATTCCTCTAGTAACCTAGCAACTGAGGAAGCTTATCTTTAGGAAAAAAGTGTATGAGAGAAAGTGAAAGTAATGTTTGCGTCAAAGCATTCGTTGAACTCATCATTGCAAATGGCAAACAATAAACCAAATATCTTTATCCTGTTCTACCTCCCCCCTCCCCAATTCCTGCTGCTCAGGTCAAAGCGGTGCTGGGAACAACTGGGCCAAAGGCCACTATACAGAAGGAGCTGAGTTGGTCGATTCTGTCCTAGATGTGGTAAGAAAGGAAGCTGAGAGCTGTGACTGTCTCCAGGGTTTTCAGCTTACCCACTCTCTAGGTGGGGGCACTGGATCAGGGATGGGTACCCTGCTGATCAGCAAGATTCGTGAGGAATATCCAGACCGTATCATGAACACCTTCAGTGTGGTACCATCACCCAAAGTTTCAGACACAGTAGTGGAACCCTACAACGCTACTCTCTCGATACACCAACTGGTGGAGAACACAGATGAGACCTTCTGCATTGACAACGAGGCTCTCTATGACATCTGTTTCCGTACCCTCAAGCTAACAACTCCCACTTATGGAGACCTCAATCATTTAGTCTCTGTTACCATGAGTGGTATAACAACCTGCCTCCGCTTTCCTGGCCAACTCAATGCTGACCTTCGCAAGTTGGCTGTGAACATGGTTCCCTTTCCTCGCCTCCATTTCTTCATGCCTGGCTTTGCCCCTCTGACCAGTCGTGGCAGCCAGCAGTACCGAGCCTTGACTGTACCAGAGCTAACACAACAGATGTTTGATGCCAAAAACATGATGGCAGCCTGCGACCCTCGTCATGGGCGTTACCTGACAGTAGCAGCTATCTTCCGAGGCAGGATGTCTATGAAGGAAGTGGATGAGCAGATGCTGAATGTTCAGAACAAGAATAGCAGCTACTTTGTGGAATGGATCCCCAACAACGTCAAGACAGCTGTGTGTGATATCCCACCCCGTGGCCTTAAAATGGCAGCTACTTTCATTGGTAACAGCACAGCTATCCAGGAGCTCTTCAAGCGCATCTCAGAGCAGTTCACAGCCATGTTCCGTCGCAAGGCCTTTCTCCACTGGTATACAGGTGAGGGCATGGATGAGATGGAATTTACAGAGGCCGAGAGCAACATGAATGACCTGGTCTCAGAATACCAGCAGTATCAGGATGCTACTGCTGAAGAAGGCGAGTTTGAAGAGGAGGCAGAGGAGGAAGTTGCATGAAGAGCTCTCTACTCTACTCTATTCTACTCTTCTCTTGTCTCTCTTCTCCCTTCCTGCCCATTACTCCTCCTCTTTATTTCCAACCAGTCTTCTGAACCATATTGGACTATGTTGCCTGCATTGGCATAGTCTTGGAGCATTCTAAGCCAACCTAAAGGATCTTAACAGTGGAATCTTCTAAGGCTTACCCGCCTGCCTGCCTATCTCAAATTCTGCAGGGTGGAGTCATGCATATAGGAGTACTGTGTTGGTATGAGGAGGAAGAACAGGCTTCTCAGTTGTATTCAGGAATGGCAGCCACTGGTAATGTTTCTAGCTAAAAGCACTAAACAACATATTTTTCTCATCTTATCCTCTCCCAGTCCCCTCCTCTTTTCTTTTCCCTCTGCCCAATATCTCATGCACATCCCTCTGTGATGTCTGTCTTGAGTGTTCTGTGCGGTCATGTGAGTTTTTGTTTCCAAAGATGAGTACACGCTAACTTGCATTTGTTTTGCTCTTCTTCATCCATGTTGGGCTTAAAGGAAAGATTAATGGAACTGGGGGGGGAGGGTAGTTGAGGGGAATGGGGCACAGTTCTTTAGCATGAAACATAGTCCCCCCCCCCTTTGAGTGTATTTGTTATGAAAGAATTGTATGTCTCCACAATAAACTACTGAAAAATAATTCAGGCTAATGTTGGTTTCAGAGATTGTTTTAATTCTACCTTTCAAATGCATGACTTTCTCACCGTGTGTTACTGTATTGCATTTATATAGCATTTTTCCCCTCTGGGTGTTCAAGATGGCATACATGGTGACCTTCTCTAGTTTTTATCCCTACAGCAACCCTTACATTCTCAGAATCTAGGGAAGAAAAATGAGGTTTTTCAGAATTTAGAAGTCAAGGATTTGATGGGCATTTCATCTTTATCTCTTAAGCAAGTTTCTGTCTGTGAGGGAATCTGTGAGAAAGGATGGAACAGCTCACAGAGTTCCTTTCTTAATGTATTCACTATAAATTTATTTATTTATTTATTTATTTGTTTGTTTAAATTTCTATACCGCCCTTCTCCAATATAGGACTCAGGGCGGTGAACAGCCAAAGTAAAAACAAGACATACAAAATCTAAAAACTGTTTAAAATAATTAAATATTCTGGCCGTAATTAAAAAATTCCAATTTAAAATCAGTTTAAAATTTAACTCAAGCCAGCCCAGCTAGCTGAAATAAATGGGTTTTCAGGGCCTGACGAAAAATCCGGAGGTCTGTTATTGTACGTATCTCTGGGGGGAGGTTGTTCCAGAGGGTGGGCGCCGCCACAGAGAAGGCTCTCCCCCTGGGGGTCGCCAGCCAACATTGTCTGGCGGACGGCACCCTGAGGAGGCCCACTCTGTGTGAGTGTACTGGCCGGTGGGAGGCTATTGGTGGCAGAAGGCGGTCTCGTAAATACCCCGGCCCTGAGCCATGGAACGCTTTAAAGGTGGTCACCAAGACCTTGAAGCGCACCCGGAAGACCACCGGGAGCCAGTGCAGCTCGCGCAGGAGAGGTGTCACATGGGAGCGCCTCGTCGCCCCCATAATCCCCCGCGCGGCCGCGTTCTGGACCAGCTGGAGCCTCTGGGTGCACCCCAGGGGGAGCCCCATGTAGAGAGCATTGCAGTAGTCCAGGCGGGAAATGACGAGTGCCTGAGTGACTGTGCGTAGGGAGTCCTGATCTAGAAAGGGGCGCAACTGGCGTATCAGGCGAACCTGATAAAAAGCCCCCCTGGCCACGGCCATCAAATGATCTTCTAAAGACAGCCGTGCGTCCAGGAGGACGCCCAAGTTACGAGCCCTCTCCGTGGGGGCGAGTGATTCACCCCCAATAGCCAGCGATGGCATCAGCTGGCTATATCGGGACGCCGGAAGCCACAGCCACTCGGTCTTGGAGGGGTTGAGTCGGAGCCTGTTTCTCCCCATCCAGGCCCGCACGGCCTCCAGGCACTGGGACATCACTTCAAGGGCATCATTGGGGTGGCCTGGGGTGGAGATGTACAGCTGGGTGTCATCAGCGTACTGGTGGAACTTCACCCTGAAGCCACGGATGATCTCACCCAGCGGCTTTACATAAATGTTGAACAGAAGGGGCGAGAGGACCGACCCTTGTGGCACCCCACAAACAAGGCGCCTCGGGGTCGACCGCTGCCCCCCTGTCAACACAGATTGCGATCGGTCAGAGAGGTAGGAGGAGAACCACCGCAGAACGGTGCCTCCCACCCCCAACCCCGCCAACCGGTGCAACATGATACCATGGTCGATGGTATCAAAAGCCGCTGAGAGGTCTAACAGGACCAGGATAGAGGAGCAACCCCTATCCCGGGCCCTCCAGAGATCATCCACCAATGCGACCAATGCCGTTTCCGTGCTGTGCCCAGGCCGGAAGCTGGACTGGAGCGGGTCTAGATAGACAGCTTCATCCATGTACCGGGGAAGCTGTTGCGCCACCACACTCTCAACAACCTTCGCAACGAAGCGAAGGTTGGAGACTGGACGATAGTTAGCCAAAACAGCCGGATCCAGAAAGGGCTTCTTGAGGAGGGGCCTCACAACCGCTTCTTTCAAAGCGGACGGCAGGACCCCCTCACTCAAAGAAGCGTTAACAATCTTCTGGAGCCAGCCTCGTGTCACCTCCCGGGAAGCCAGTACCAACCAGGAGGGACACGGGTCCAATAAACATGTCGCGTTCAGCCATCCCAGGACCCTGTCCATGTCCTCGGGAGCCACAGGATCGAACTCCCCCCAGATAACCCTCTCAAGACCTGCCTCAGTCATCCCGTCCGGACATACCCAGTCAGAGGCCAGCCCTTCCCGAATCTGAGCGATTTTGTCATACAGATACTGCACAAAATCCTCAGCTCGGCCCTGCAAGGGGTCATAAATGAAGGCTGGAAAATACTTACATGGTTTCCAAGACTATAGCCTAATCCTGGCATTAAACCTGATAAATGAGACTCTGCAAACCTACCTTCCTTGGTCATGTGTTTCTATTTGGGGCTTGACATTGTGAGATAAGCTGAAGTAAGCTAGAGCAACTGACCCAAATTTATCCAGAGGGTTCAGTGACAGTTTTGGGACTTGAGCATGGGTCTCCCCAGCTCTTGTCCAATCTCATAACCACTCTGCTCTCTCACCAAATGGAAAAGCAGTATGGCCCTCAGAACTTGGAAAGGCATAATTGATTCTTTTTGCTTTACTCTGAAGATTTAACCTGATTGATGATGATTATATACCACCAAATCACTTTCAACTCCTAGCAACCACATAGATTTTTTTCTGTGATTGGCTAAACCTGGTCTTTCAAGTGTCCCCAACAGTTTACTCATTGATATCTGTGCTTCACAGCTGGGACTATTATTATGAAGGAAAGGGGATGTAGGTTTATGGGCACCTGTGAGATGAACTTGGGAGGCAGACAGAGTTAACTGGAGTAGCCTCGCAGCAGATGCAAAGGTGAGGGAACTAGCAGAATGCAAAGCTAGCAGGTTTGAGTAGTGGAACAAGTTATGTCTTTCCTGCTTGGTGTGTGACTACTTGATTAATGATGCATCTCCTTTGGGGTAATTACACTGAGAGTTCCCTGCAGCATTTTCTCTTTACCATTTTCAACTCCAGAATCCAATGAAGCCATTAACTGAGAAAATACTGCTTGGTAAAATTCAGTGCATCCTGGAAAATACCATTATTTTATATAAGACGCAAATTTTGCCTTCCTTAAAATCTTTTTTTTTTTTTAATTTGATTTATATGCCGCCCTTCTCCGGAGACTCAGGGCGGCTTACAATGCATTAAGCAATAGCCTTCATACTTTTGTATATTTATACAAAGTCAGCTTATTGCCCCCACAAACTGGGTCCTCATTTAACCTACCTTAGAAAGGATGGAAGGCTGAGTCAACCTTGAGCCTTGGAGAGATTCGAACCAGCAGTAAATTGCAGGCAGCTGTGTTAATAACAGGGTGCTTTAAACCACTGTAGTACCAAGGCCCTTGGCTTCTCTTAGTTTGTGCCTTCCCAAAATATTTGAATATGTGTAAGTAATGCCGATGGTCAGTGTGTACAGTGAATTAGATGCTAGATTAGACTAGGGGAGACCCAGTTGAATCCACTCTTGAGTTTACCTCACAATATAATTGCTAAAATAGAATGAAGAAAAGTCCCTCTGCAAATCCCCTTGAGCTTGGGGAGGAAATTTGAGATACAAATAAGAATATTGATATAAATAAGCAGACACTTCCAAGGAGGAGAGGTTTTGGGTAGAGCATTTTGCCCACTCATTTCCTTTTTTCTGAGAATAAAGTTGCAATATCAACAGTCTATTTTCCCTTTCATGATAGCCTCAGTCAGGTTCCTCCAAGTGCTAAATAAGATTTCAATATTCCTTGACACTTTTATTGTAAATCTTTCCTTCTGATTTTCACTGACAAGTGGCTGGGTTTGTACTGAGCCTCGAGGCAGTCATATAACTCTCATTTTAAGTTTTGTAAGCACAGAGGGGAAGTGTGTACACTAACCCAGCAGCTTGGATCCTCAAGTTTGTTATCCCCCATTAATTGGAAGCCATGTAAAAGTGATCAGGTTTATATTAAAAATAAAAAGATAATGGGAGTAACCTGTTTGTATTTCTTGCAAAGTGTCATCGTTCCCAGTTGTTGCATTATTAACCTTTTATTTACCATTAAAAACTATATATGACCGAAGATGTTACTATGCAAAAATCACTTTGCATCCTTTACCCATTGCACAATAATGCTGGGAAGTAATCGGTAGGCAATAAGAAAAGTAAAATAGAAAGGCAGTGCTACTCTGTCAAGAACGATGCTAGATACAGTAATAAAAGTTTATTGCTTTGGGCAAGAAAATGTCAGATTTGTAGCATAATATGAATAGTTAAAATGGCTAAGGAATGGTTAAATAGTTAACTAAAGAAGGATAGTTAAAATACTAAGGAACCACTTGGCCATCTAGCTAGCTCTGGCAGCATCACTGAATGAAATTCGCAAACCTAAACTCATCCTTAATTCATTTAACCTTTCATTCTAATAGGATTATTCTTGAATGTGCTTCATTTTCCTCCATGTAAATGGTTCACTGCCCTACCTCCTTCTAAAGGTATTTCTGCATTTGTTGAAAAAGTTGCAGTTAAAAAAAAGAAAATCTGGGCTTTGTGAGTTTTCTGGGGTACGTGATTGTCCCCTCTTGTGACCTCAAAAATTAGGAGAAGTCTTAATTCTACTGGAGCTTGGAGGGTTGTTAAAACCTGTTTCTTAGAAGGGTGGGTATCATTAATATGCCATCACAGAAATTTAGCAGAAATATTTCACTAGTGTCAGCCACCAAAAAAAAAGACTAGTTTGGCAACATTTTTCTATCCCTTCATCTAGGCTTTCACAGCACTGCATCAGGAATGCTGGCATTTTTGTCAAAACTTCTCGCAGCATCAATCTTTGTTGCCCTTGCTTGGTGGAATCTGGTGTCAGCTGTCCCAGTACAAAGAGGTTGCATTGTAATTCAGTACCCCATGGACAGTCAGGCATCACAATGTGCCTCTGTGTGGATTGGAAAGAAGAGGGTGACTGGATGACACCTGTGCCATTCTTTGGATTTTGTTTATGTTCCTTATGTGGCATTGAGTCCTATTTCAATGGCAGGAGCCAGAA